TAAATAAAAGAGACCTAGACCCAGAATCATTGAAGTAATACTTATTATTATCACTAGATTCCAGTTCTTCAAAGACATTCCCAAGAAAAGTTGTTAAGGAAAGTGGAACTAAAATCACATCTAAGAACTTTGAGAAAGGTGCCACAAAACCAGGGAAAAAGGGTGTAAAACAGTTCAAGAATAAGCAACAAGGGGACAAAGGACTGAAGAACAAATTGCAGCTTGCAAAAAAACTCAAGAAGAGAAAATTCCAGCCAGACAGTAAAAGTGATGGTAAGTACCAGTGTCTAGCATAGCCTTTGCAGAGGCCTTTGTCTTTACCCCAAATATGCGTACAGTTGGTAATGTAAAACTAACTTACATGGGCTTTAGAGCATGATATTCAAACGAGTATTATTGAACTAAGAAATTCCTCAAGATAATACTAAGACTCATTTGAAATAAAATTGCTCAAAAATGATAAAACCAACTTGAGTCTCTTCACAACTCCCCAGCAGTTAGGTCCCTCACTACACGATGAGAATATCTAACTCAAATATGTAATGCTGCACAATCTGAAACTTTGTGACCTCATGTGATAATGGGTTGCAGTCAAACACAGTATTTTTGGCCTGACTAAAAACAAACACTCTACTTACAGTCTTAATTTTCCCTTGAATCAACTTCTGCAAGTCACTCATCAACTTCACTCTTTTTTCTTTGTCACAATCTTTTCTACAAATGAGAAGAGGAAGCACAGTTTAAGAAGTTATTTTAAACATATGAAACTAAACACCATACCAATATATGTTCGCCAGTTTAGCATGATTTTCTTTTCAAAGCCACCAAACCTCTGACATTAAAATTACTATTCCAGAGCAGCCCAACAAAGTAATTTTCTCAGAGGCAGAAACTCATCTCAAAAGGTATAATTTTATCCATCAATCTAAGTCTTAACAGCCAGAATTTCAGAAGGAAATAAAACAAATCTGAGATACCAAATACTTAAGTATATCTCAAAACCTATCCAAGAAGAAATCATCTTTCATTTTCTCAGAAACCTCTCAAGGAGGATCTCAAATCCATTTTGATTCTCATACATGTCCACAAACATATCTGCCACTGTTCTAATGACCCACACAGTTTGCAACAGGCAGACATCCAAACACTGCTGCCTCTACTGGGGTTTATGAGAACTCCCCAGGTAACCCACGGGCTGGGTAGTTTATTTTAGGACATCTCTCTACTTGTAAGGCATACTGTTGCTTTTCCACTGCCTCAAAGACACCAATAATAAAGATGCCATTAAGTGACATTACCTTCTTAAGATTTCCCAAATTTGCTTTGCTCGAACAACAATGTCATAGTTGGTTTTGTCACTGAGCTGCCTACTCTGCTTCAGTTCCTTCTTCTTCTTTTTGAAGTCATCCCATTTGGGTTTCTTGGCTGCTGATTCTAGAGATTACAGAAATTATTTTCAATGAGTGCCATATACAAATAGGAATTAAGTATAAAGAGCAATCACCAATCCGGATCAATACTCATTGTGGAAGCTACAATGGGATAATACTGTTTTCTATAAATATAAAATATAAATATACATATATTTTACTACAGTTTTTGAGTGGTTTATACATTTTAAATTTGACTAAAAATCAATTATTCATTTAACAGCTTTTTGTGCATGTGTGGAGAGGGAGGGGGGATAGAGACAGGTCTCCTTCTATAGACCATGCTAGCCTCCTGCCTCAGCCTCCCAAGTGCTGGGATTACAGGTATGCCCATGCCGGGCTATTTGCCTTTTTATTGTTTCTTAATAAGATGCCTAGTAAGGAAAAAAAAGACTATAAAAGCAAGTGAAAAATTTTAAGCATCTTTTTTCACTTGTAAAATAAAATTCTACTTTAGAATATTAAGATTACTAGATTTTAAGTATAACTAGTTTACAATGAAAACAAAACTTAGTCCAAATTAAAATTGGAAAAACAATCTTTTTGCTTTTATTTTTCTTTGTACTGGGGCTTGAAATCAGGGCCTACACCTTGAGCCACTCCACCACCCCTTTTTTTGTTAATAGGTTTTTTCAAGATAGGGTCTCACGAACTATTTGCCTGGGTTGGCTTCGAACCATGATCCTCTTGATCTCTGTCTCCTGAGTAGCTAGGATTATAGGCATGAGCCACTGGTGCCCGGCAAGAATCTTAAATTCACTGTTCAAGGGCTCGTTTAGAATGGGTAAAGCTCTAGGTTCCATCCCCAGCACCACAAAAAAAACAAAAGCTCTTAAATTTAACTCTCACAACAACACTAGGAAGTATTATTATCCCTCCTTCCATGTTGAGAAAACAAAAGTAAAGGTATACCATGTAGTGAAGTCTCTTCCAAGGCCACACAACTACAGTGGTAGAACCAAGATTCATACCCAGAGATAAGCCTCCCCTGCCTTTTACTTATAATAATGCACAACCAAAATACAGAGTGATGCTATGAAAGTTGAGTATCTTTCTATTATTTTTTTTCCTCTTCAAAATCTGAGTATCTTACCAAGTCAACAACAAAAATCCAATGAAGATGCTATGACAGTTGAGTATCTTTCTATTACTTTTTTTTTTCTCTTCAAAATCTGGGTATCTTACCAAGTCAACAAAAATCCAACAAAGCCAAACAAATGAAATGAGTATTTCCTTTAGGTTATTATCTACATGAGTATCCTGCAAGAAACCCTTTAGAAATTAGTTATTTCTAAATAGCTCCCTTTCTTTGATTATAAAATACACTGTAATACTAAAATCTATGTGTAACCACTGATGATTTCCATCTTGCCTTTTCCCATGAATGTCTCATATTAATCTTATAAATCCAGAATCTTACCATCTTAGCCATCATTATACTGTCAGCATTTTCCAATGAAACTAAATGATCATCAAAAATTTAAGTTCTAGCTGCTATACAATATAGTTCAGTTTATCATCTATATATGAATACAATCTAATGTACTGTACTATAAGCAGTTGGATATTGGTGGAACATGGTGATAGAGAATGGGTAATGGGGGGTTAATTTGATTAAAGCACTATATATACAGACCCGAAGTACCAAGGCTAAATGCCCTCAGACTATCAATATACAATTAAAAAAAAACAAAAAAAACGAAGGGCAGAAGGGTAAAGTAGGTCTTTTCTGGGGGTCTATACCAGTGGGGGGGGGGTGGGCATAAGGGTGAATAATAGGGTAAATGTATTTTATATATATGAAAACAGAAAAATGAAACCTGTTGAAATTGTTCTAAGAAGGGGGAAGAGGGAGAAGGATGGAAGGGGTAAATTTAAATAAGATGTATTATAAGCATATATGTAAATATCACAATGTATCTCCCTATACAACTATTATATGCTAATACCTTTTTAAAAAATATAGCTCAGTTTATCTAATTATTCCCCTATTATCTCCTATTCCCCACCTGGTAGATAATACAGAGGATTACAGCAAGGGAGGGTATATTCACTATTAATAGCAGGGCATCACGAACTACACAACAGAGGATAACTGATGCAGAGCTAATTTAATTCCACAAATATTTGAGTATCCTTGATACATGTCATCCTGGGTTGCAGTAGATATCAATTTTGGAGATGTTGAGTCCCCAACTTGTTACTCATATAAAAATATGAGGAAAAAAAATAAAGAATTCCATCTTAAGATAGTAAGGCTATCATCTCTCATGGCAGGCTGGGAATGTGGCTCAGTGACAAAACACTTGCCTAGCAGGCGAAATGCCCTGGGTTACATCCTCAATAACACGAAATTAATTAATTAAAAAAAAATACCACTACCAACAGCAAAAAAATAAAAGAGAGATCTCATGGCAAAAGGAACCAGGGCCATAGCATAATCAGACCTTAATGTTAGAATGAATATACATGTATTTCAAATGCAGATTGTCAAGAATTTCAGAAGAAAAAGGAAGATTTAGGGCCTACTAGTCAGGTGGAGAAAGAGAAGATGTTACAGAAATTATTACAGGTGGGGGAGATGAAGAGAAAGGTAAAAGCAAGAGAAAAGATAAGGATCAGGGTGGGAAAGGGCCCAGAAAGCCTAAGGAAAAATAATAAAATTTCCCTGTTTCTTTCTCCCCATTTTCCTGTCTAAGTCTGCTTTCCCTTCACTGAACAGCCCTTAGGCAGAGTGAAAAGCAAGGACCAGGGCTAGGGATAGAACAGAAAAGCCCCCATGGCAGTGTTCTCAGCTGGCAAACAGTGAGCAGTGTTAGAAGAAAAAGAGAACAAAAGACACCAGAGAAACACTCATGATAGAGCAGTAGATGTAACCTAAACACTGTTTGAAAACAGCCCAGGTACCAGGATAAGATACAACAGACAGCAAAACTGAGTCAGAAATGAGGCCATGGACACTGAGATGTTTGTTTCAATGACAAAGAACTGCCTTATTAGCACTACTAATGTATGATCAATTTGTATACTACACCTATGATACTGCTACTGGATCTGAACCATCTAATGGCTTGATCATATTAGATGGGCTAAGCTCTGTGAGGGCAGTCTATAAATCTCTTACTAGCCAAGGCAGCTTTAATCAAGGTTGACACTCAGCTGGAATGTACTGGTTCTTTAAGGCTAGCTTCTAAGATTAATTGGGGTCTATATCATGCCTATCTCATAGCACAATGAATAGAAACTCAAACATCTGTCGAATGAATAAACCAATAAATTCATTTTATTGTATAAAGCCATTACTATGTGGCTTACCTCTATAACTATAGTAAAAAAGAACTCTAAGCACTGGAAAGAAATTTTGAACAGTAAAGATGCTCCGTTGTTTACTTAAGCCCATTTGCTGTTCCTTCTCTCACCCAAAGCAGCTGTCGTTGAGAAGGAAGAATGAGGTCTTTAACACAGGTCCATAGTCCCTGCCCACAAAGGTTCCAATGTGAACTGGCAGACAAAGGCCTCTGCAAAGGCTATGCTAGACACTGGTACTTACCATCACTTTTACTGTCTGGCTGGAATTTTCTCTTCTTATTTGCAAGCTGCAATTTGTTCTTCAGTCCTTTGTCCCCTTGTTGCTTATTCTTGAACTGTTTTATACCCTTTTTCCCTGGTTTTGTGGCACCTTTCTCAAAGTTCTTAGATGTGATTTTAGTTCCACCTTCCTTAACAACTTTTCTTGGGAATGTCTTTGAAGAACTGGAATCTAGTGATAATAATAAGTATTACTTCAATGATTCTGGGTCTAGGTCTCTTTTATTTACTGGATTATATTTGTTACACAAAATTAGACCCTTTTTTTTACCAAAATTTCAAAAAACTTTCTCTAAAATTTTCGTATGGATTCATGACACATATCTACAAAGGAAAGAAATGTATAATAAGAATTATACCACCTAGAGATAACCACTGTTGGTTTGATATATTTCTGCAGTTTTGAGCGTATGGTAGAGATGAGGTATTATTTACATAGCTTTGTATTCTGCTTTAATGACCATCTCATTAGTCTTTACACATAATTGTTAATGGTTTGATAACACAGTAGTATAATAAAATGAACTCTTGAAATTTATAAAGTATATCATAAAAACAAATTTAAATGCTAATTTCTCAACATTTCTAGCTTTTTTAAACATACATTAACACTACAGGGGGCTTCATTGTGTTAATTCCATAGATGTGTAGTGTACTTTGAACAAGTTCACCCCACTATTACATTTCTTTAACTCCCGTCTCTTTCTCTTTTACAAACAGTATTTGGTAGGTTTTATTATTCTATCTTCACACATACATATATATATTTATACATATATATTAACATTTCTGCTTTTTTGTTTGTTTGTTATTTGGCACTACCAGGGGTTGAACTCAGGGCCTCAAGCTGGACAGGCAGGTGCTCTATTGCTTGAGTCACTTCGCCAGCCGAAATTTTTTAGTTTTGAGAAAAAAAAACCTGTAATAAAATTATTTGATAAAAACTTTCAATAAACAAAGCTTACAAATTAAGAAAATGAGATGCAAATAATAACTGCTGTATCTTAAGACTACTACAAAAGAGGAGAGGAAAAACCTTGCTTAGGAAACATTATTTATATATTCCTTGACTTTTCTATTCTGCAATACTGACACCTGATGGCATAAGAAGGACATCACCATTCAAAATAATGAAGCTAAGAACATGCGCCTTAACAACAGTATATATAAATCAGCCAAATTTCCTAAACTAAGATGTATCATGAATGAGAGAAAACTAAAAGAGGCAACATCAATGATGAGATAAGAAGTCTTTCAGGAGTACAGCATTCCTCCATTATTCTGGCAATTATTTTAAATCTCTGAATCCCATGAGCAACATGTTAGCTAATAAGTTAACAATGACTTTTTCTCCTATTTTGATCCTAATCCTAGCCCATGAATACAGATTAGATTCTGTTACATACACCCCCCCACATCCCCAGCCAACCATAATGGCCAAAACAACCACATGGGGAGCATGTTCTGGTATGGTTATCTTACCACTGTTTTTATAAAATCTATTTTTTTCTTGTGATAACTTTGTATTCTTTCCTGTGAATTTTTTCTTCCCTTTGACCTCCATCATAACAGTTCTGGAAAACAAAAAACAAAACCAAAAACAATCAGTGATTTGCTCCTCATCAAATAAGAGTCATTATGTAGTCACTGCCATATTTAGCCCTTGAAATGCATATGCAGCATAAATCACCCAGCTACAACATGGGCAAGGCCTACAATTATGCAATTACTGCCTCTAAGACTTTAAAATGAAAAATGCAGTAATATAAGAATTTAGAACATGCCTATAACCTACCTAGTGTGTAACATAAACTTCAGCAACAATACTGGCTAAAAACAGACTATTAAGTGTGTCAGTGTTTGCATTTTGTAACCTGGGAAGATTTGGTGATAAGTAACTGACAATATTACCATTTGATTTCTTAGTCTCTATCCCAAGAAGCTAGGAACAAACAATAGGGTGCACTTACCACATATTCAAATATAATGAAAGAAAATAAAGGATTGGAAAGATCTTCATATAACCCAACGTAGCTGAAACAAAAGATCACTGCTCAATGTTTAATGTGTAATTGTTTCAGAAGTAGCCAAGTAATTTATAGTGAACTGCAAAATAAATCATGTTGAAATATTTCATATTTAGAGGAATCCGTCCAATGGGTCTCTTGTGGGGGAACAGGGATCTTATGGTACATAGGACAAGCAACAGATAATCCCTCACCAACCCAAGGCCCCTGCAAACAGAACGGAACAAGGATAAAAGTCACTGGGCTCATTTTTCTGCTTTTCAAAATTGCATGCTAATTCTACTTCTGAAGTTGACCCTAAAAAGTAAATGGGAGGATTTCCTAGACAATAATTCTACGTTAGACATATCTAGATTAGAATTTTCAATAATTCATTTCACAGAACATTTACAGGTATTAGAAAAAGGAAGGGTTCTAGGTTGAAATGTAATTGAGAAACACTTAAATGGCAATAACCAGCATGGAAGGAAAGGCTTTTCAGATTCTTTAAATTGCTACTATAAATGATCCATTGCCAAGCAAGTGGTAAAGTATTCGAGATTTTCCAAACCTAGTAGAACTAGTTTTTCTACAAACTTCTCAAGGGAATGGTAAGGTTCTAGGGAACACATTGGAAAATGCTATTCTAACCATATTTTAATAATACAATTCTGAAAAAACAGATGGTCCCTAAATTGCTGAGCTCCCTCAGAACATTTAGAACTGTAGAGTCCCTTTATCACTTGGGTATAGCCATCATAACCACACCTGCATTTCTCATTCTTACATGCATGTAGTTTTCTAACAATCCACTTTTAGTACACAAAGGATTTCCGTATACTCTCTACCAACTTCCCCTAGTGTTAAAAACTTACCATAATTTAGCTATCAAAACTAAGAAATTAACATTAGCGCAATACTATCAATTATGGTACAGGATTTATTTGAATCTCATCAGGTTTTTCTCTTTCAGTTCCAGGATATACTCAATTTTGCCATCATGGGTCTTCTACATTTTGTAGACTATGTCTCATTCAGGATTTACTGTTTTCTCATGATTAGACTGAGGTTCTGTGTATTGTTTTTTGTTTGTTTGGGTTTTTTTTTTTTTGAGAATTATACCACAAAGATGTACTCTCCTCACAGTATCAGGAGGTACATGACATTGTTATATGGTGTCATGGTGGTGTTAACCATAATCACTTGGTTAAAGTAGTGTTTGCCAAGTTTCTTCAATCAAGTTACTAATTTTCTTTTTCTATACTCTATTAGAAGTAAGCATTTAAGTCTAGCCCAAACGAGAGAAATTAAGCTGTCTCCTGGACCTGTAAATCTATCTGGCACTTCTGATTTTGCCAGGCATCTTACACTTCATATACCCAAAAGATAACTCTATTTCCACTGCAAACAATCTCCAAACAATATCCCATCCATGTTTCTATAGCTTATTTTTCTCACTTCAGCCAATGGTATATCATATACTTCACTGCTCAAGCAAGAAACCTTAAAATTACCCTTGACATTTTCTTCTGTTTATGTCACAACAATCTACCAGAAAGTTCTCGAGTTCTCCTTAAAAGTATTTCGAACACTCTAATTTCTATTTCCATCACCACCACCACCACCTTCTAATGTGAACCATCAAGAATCTCCTTAATTTACTTCCACACTAAATATTTTCCAAAGAGAGCCTGGGTTTTGTCATCTTTTTTCAATGTTTTCCATGCATGGAATACAATAGGAGTTTCCCGTTTTGCAGAAATAAATAAAATCGATACCAAAACCTCCAAAAACTCATCCACCCTACTCTAATTGCACCGTGCCCCCTGTACTCCTAGCTCCCACCCTAGTGACAGCCCGTTACTGCCTGGGCTTAAAGTACTCCTCCTGAGGCGTCCCATCTCAGAGCTGCCTCCCGTCAAGCTTTTGGTCTCGGCTTATGGCCCACTTCCTCAGACTCCCCGATCTTGCATCTCTGCATCTGTTCATTTGCTTCCCTGAGCTTACAACCAGCAACTGGACCCTCGGGCTGTAACCGCAGCACCTAACACTGGTCGGATGCAGAATGGATGTTAGTCACACATGAGACCGGTAGGCTGACTGGAACTAGCACGTGCTGAGATTTCAGAGTGAAGCTATTTCAGCATAATTCAGCTTTCAGGGCAACGTGTGGGAAGCGAGGTCGGAGCCCCACCCTTGCCAGGCCCCCGACTGCCCACTTACCACAGAAGACTGTCAAGCCGGAGAGGTCTGAAACCTCTCCCTCCGCAGCCTCCAACTCCGGGCGGCGGGTGAACCCCTCCCAGGACTGACTGTTCAGTCGGCAAACACCGTACACGTGGGGCCAACCCAGCACGGGAGCCAATTCCCCTCCGCCGCTTCCGCTTCCTGGTCTTGCTCCGCCTCAGGGCCGCTGTTAGTATTCTTCCGCCTCGGCGCTGAGGTCAAAGGGTGGAGCTCAGAAACTCGAAGCTTTTATTGGTCCGCTTCTTTTACAGGTCATTTGTACGCGCTTACGCTGCGCAATAAGCGGGTTTTGACCCCTGAAAGGATCCGTCGGGCGGAGGACGCGTCAATGGCGCCGAAAAGTGACGTTTTTAACCCTGTAGTTTCTGTGCCCGCGGGAATATAACAGATTTCTCGCGAGAGCTGACGCGCTTTTGAAGAGTAGACGTGACTAATACAATTACGAAGGGTCAATCAATTCTGCAGTTTGAACTAATATTAAATAGATAACCTGTTTAGACTATGTTCATTTGCATCTTTTTTGAACAGACTAGCATGGAAGTCGTGAGCCGGTTTGACTTTTAATCCTGTTTTATTCATTCTCTAGCTGTGTGGATCTGGGCAAATTGCTAAATTTCTCTGATGCTGTTTTCGATCAATAAAATAGAGATAGGTCATACATGTAAAGCGGTTGGCACAATGAATAATTATAAGAAGCAATCTAAACGTTTGTCATTTTTAATGCCTGCCGGTTCCTGGACATTGCAACCATCCCGTTTTCCACTTCACAAAATGGAGTTAGGGTATCATCCCATTTTACAGATGAAGAAACTGACATAGCAAACTTGGTTATGTCAAACAACAGAACTTTATTCACTAACAGTTCTAGAAGCTAGAAATCTGAAATCAAGTCGTGGTCAGGACAGGGTATCTTGTGAAAGCACTAACACTTTTTTGTGTCTTCCAGCTTCTGATGGTTCCAGGCTTGTGGTTGCATGGCCCCAGTCTCTGCCTCTGTCTTTGAATGGCCAATGGCCCTGTCTTCTGTGTCTCTGACTTCTTTCTGTATGTAAGAACAGTCGTCATTGATTTTAGGTCCCACCCAGAAGAACCAGGATGATCGCATTTCAAAGTCTTTTAACTTTACTACATCTGTAAAGGCCCTTTAATCCAAATAAGATCGTTTTTTAATGTTCCAGAGATTAGGACGGGCCTATTTTTTTTGGAGACCATTCATCCTAGTACATCTGAAAAGATGAAAAATTGAGACTTGATCCCACGAATATGGAGCTTAAGATTTTACTATCTTCCAGATCACTGTTTCTTTCCCTTAGAGACATTTGGCTTGAGACTGGTACTCCGCATTTTCAGGATTTATAGCAGAGTCCAGGGCTACGGATGAAATCCACCTATTTTCCTCAAAAAGAGTCTGTCATCCCAGAAGGAAAACTTTTATTTCAGTGCCTAGAACTTGGTTACATGGTCAATTCCAGGAATGAAAGACCATCAGATATAATGTTAACCAGACATTTAGAAACCATTCCTTTTCAAGTACTCTGGTAAAATTACAGGTCTTTTGGTAAATATGCTTCCATCCATCAGCAGAAATTTAATTTGCAGCATAAATGAAGTTGGTTTAAAACTTAAAATAATTGTAGTTCTCAAGGTAGTAGATATCAACCTTGGCAAACATCAAAATGAACTGTAGAGTTTAAAATATTAATTCTCATGTAATTTATCTGAAGTGTGGAGTGTTAACCTGGGAAAGTTCTCTAGGTCATGTTAATGTGCATCCAAAATCAAGAGCCACTTGTTTAAGGAATGTAGTTCAAGTCGTTGATTTGATTTTCTAATTAAACCTTGCAACCTCCTGTCTCTATTTTTATTACAGTCAACAAAATTAAAGAATTAAATGTATGATACACTTGTTTCTGTAAGTAGTACATCTTGGACATAATTGTATCTTTCATGTTGATTGAGGTCTCCCATAGTGATTAAACATCATTAGATATTGAGAGATATTGAGAATGCTTTAAATGTGAACTGTACACTTCCAGACCTATTCTGAAAAAATATTAGCATCTTTTTTCAATTCCCTACGATTTGTGCAATTTTCTCCTTTTTGAAAAAATAAAGTGTGTTAGGTGTCAGCTCCCACACATCTCCTCTCCCCAAAATCAGTTCTTTAGAGTTCTAATTAGTGTATTTTCAACTAATTGGGGTTGTTTTTCTGTTTCCCAATTGCATAAGCAGCAATAAAGGGCATGTTGTGATATAAAGTATAAATGAGATTTTGGCAAAGGGTGGGTTTTATTTTCAGGAACTATTAGAATGATAAATCCATGGAAACAGAGCAGTTGCCAACATATTTTCCTTTAGTGAAAACGAACTGCTTCTGAATAGGGTACATTATGTTTTTCAATACCATAAATTTTCTGAAAAGTGTACTAATATAGTTTAAGCATTAACTGAGCATTCATGGTATTCTGGTTGCTGTCTAATGAACATAAATCAACCTTGTCCTACTTTACTTTCTTTGATGACATGCTTTGGAACAGCAGAAAAATCATATGACCAGGATGAAAGTTTACTTGATTGTAGTATCACCACCTTTAATGAAAGATCACATCAGAATGTGATAGAGGAATAAAATAAAATTAGTATCACTGAAAGCCCACAACTGATCACTTATACCTAGCACATTTACAATATTCTATGGTCTTGTAAAATAATAGTTAAGAAACATATACCAGTTCTTTTTTTTTTTTAGCTAGAATGAGAGCAATTAACATGCTGGTTGTTTAAGTTTTCATTTAGATTTTGCTCTTAGACTTGATAAACATTTTCTTTTCCTTTAGAAAGTAGTGATTAGTTTTTGTATTTGTGATTTCCTTAATTTATGAGCAACAAAGACTTGATGACTGAGCATATATTTTACTAGGTGAACAAATAAGAAACTGTTTCAAATGTGAAGAAAAAATGACCTATCATTTTCTAATTATTCCTCCCATTTTATTTTTTAAATGATCTAAACTTGACTTTGGGCCTTAGAATAAAGACCTAGCCCTTCCTACCTACTCCCTCTACCTCTTCTTTTTAAGGTGAAGAAAAACATGACCTGACTTAGCTGAACTTACGTCATTTTTCTCTAAGGAAGCAGATACCAGGATGGAATTGGGAGCTGGAGAGGTTTATTGTGAGAAAAATCTATGAAGGTCAAGGAGGTAAAAGAAAGGAGTCAGTTGGGAGGACGTCAGACCATGATACAGATCTGACAACTGAAGGAAGAAGGATCTAGTAGGACATTGTTGGACTACAGTAAAACTCTGAGAAGTCTTGGTTAGGCCGATATGAAAATCCATGAAAAAAGACCAAATTTGGTAGGAATGATCTGACCCTAGTGTCCCTGCTGCACTTAGCCACTGGCTAAGAGGAACCCAGGAAAGCATGGCCTTAGCATGAATGCTGAAGTGGATCCTAAAACCATGACAATTAGGCTGTCAGCCAATTGCACCTCTCACAGCAGGTTCTCTCTGGAAAGGAGACTGGAGTAGTTCATGCCCCTGGCTGCTTAAGTCCACCCTTCACAATGCACAATTCTATTTCTCCATCCATTCTGGGGAAGCAGCTCTTCTGTTATTTCTAAGGCTCTCTCCTCCTCAGGGAAGAGGTAAAAGAGGAAGGACAGTGGAACAAGTTATAGTCTTCTTGGGGCCTCAAGAGGCACTCAACATCTCCCTTCTCCATTATCCATTCTAACTCACCTCAGCCTCAGCTATTAACTTGACAGGTTTTGATGCCCTACCTAGTGGTGGACTTAAATAATCACTTCTAAGGAATCTAAGTCACTATTAATCATATCACCTTACTAAGGCAAGGTTTCTACATGTTTGTTTACAGTTATAGTGGAAGCTAAGGAATAATGAGACATATAAGTTGATATTTTAGGGGATAAATGTAAAAAATATATATCTGTATGTGTATACAGACACACACACACACATACACACACACACACACACACACACATTCCTTCATGTCCCTATTGTATAAAAGCAGCCCTAACTTCTACCAATCAGAGTGAATCACTCTTGCCATCATGGAGACTCCTCTTCTCACCTGTTGGTCCGGACATAACCAGTCCAAAATGTCCAGGTGGCATTCATAGGTCAATGGGACTCCTGCTTTGTCCTCTGGCAAGAGTATATCCCTTTGGGGACAAGGACTTCTACCCCTAAAGGCTACAGTTGTGATAATAAGAAACAAATCCTGCCCTCCACAGTCATTGGAAATAATGGTAATTAGGGCCATTACTACTTCTACTTCTTGATTCCTAGACCATGTATTCTTATTAGGGATATATAAACATATAGAAATCTCTGATTTAATCTTAATTATTCTGCATTTTGGAAGATGCCACCCCATTTTTACAAACTATTGCCTATAAGCTAGTGATTCAGCTGTGTCTTCAATAGGCCTTGGAATTATTTATCAGGTTGGCTGCCTCTGGATGGGGCAGTGGTGAGATATGACCTGTGGGCCTCATGACCATGAGCTCATTCCTGCACTTCCTTTACTGTGAGATGCAGTCCCTGTTTGAAGGTTATGTTATATAGGATAATATATGTATGGATCAGGCATTTCATAAGTTGCTGGATACTGATGCTAATGGAGGTAAATACACATTTGGAATAGGTCTTTGTTCCTATGAAGAGAAACTTCTGATTCAGAATGAAAAGGAGCCCAATGTCATTAACTTTCTACCAAATGACCTGTTGGACTCTTTGGAAAATAGTACAATATTAAGGGGTCTGCATTGGTTTTGTTGCTGGAAGTTTCTCTATTTAGAGGAAGCATCAGTTAAACTAGCTTTGGGTAAGTAAAAGTTTATGCTGTTAGGCCCATGTCTACCCTCCACTTCTGCCATTATGGTCACTCCATTCATGTACCTATCATAGCCTATTCTGGAGACTGACTAATGTCAACTGGCTGAGTCATTTTGTCTTCTTGATTGTTCAATATCTCTTCTTTAGTGGATGATGTTTGATGGATATTAGAATGTGAAAATACTCCTACTTTGTGTCCACTCTCATATGACTCCTAGAAGCTTTCCTGAAGTGGCCCATTTCTAAATCTTTACAGGGTT